CAGCAGCCTAAGCAGAGATCCAGACTTCCCTCTGCAGCCACTTGGGCCAGCTCATCCGAGGGAATCCCAAGGTGTTCCCAGGCCAGCTGAAAAATGCGGTCCCTCCAGCGTGTCCTGGGTCTTCCTCTGGGCCTCCTCCCAGTGGGACGTGCCCAGAACACCTCAACAGGGAGGCATCCAGGAGGCATCCTAACCAGATGCCAAAGCCACCTCAACTGGCTCCTCTCGACGTGGAGGAGCAGCGGCTCTACTCTGAGTCCCTCATTGATGACCGAGCTTCTCACCCTATCTCTAAGGGAGAGCCCAGACACCCTGTGGAGAGCACTCATTTTTCTTTTGGTCATTACCCAAAGCTCGCAACCATAGATGAGGTTAGGAGCGTAGCTTCACCGGTAAAGCTTCACCATGACAGATCGGTACAGTGCCCGCATCACTGCAGAGACAGCACCAATCTGCCTATTGAGGAACTTGGAGGAGTTCAAGCATGTTATACACAACCTCCTCTCATTTAAAATCTTCAAACAAACGTGAAAAATATGCAAACGTTTAATATAGACGCAAGTAGAGATGCCTGATAAWATCGGTCTACGTATTATCAGTCCGATATCAGCATAAAAATGTATCATAAAAATCTCTACATATCGGTATCGGTTTTTCTTTTGATAACAAAAGCCAGATAAATTAACACCTGGATTTGACCAAAATGTGTTAATAAWTGCTTGTGGTCCAGAGACATTCACTGGTGTGTGATTGATGACATCATCAAACTGGATTATCTCAGGGAGAGGAGCATGATCCAAACTATTGTTTGGGACAAAAAGTTAAAAATAAATATGGCACTTTTCCCTTAACTTCACTTAAATGGTTTTTATTTTTGTACAGACAATGTTTACCTGTGGAAAGCATCCAGTGGGGTATCAAAAAGCAGGCATAATGTCCCTGACAGGAGTTATGTGATGCCACCTTATTATCRGTTTGTAATATCGGTTAATATCGGAATCGGAAATTAAGTGTTGAACAATATCGGCATATGAATATTGGCAAAAAGTCAGTATCGAGCATCTCCAGTCACAAGTATAAAAGTAAAAATAAACCACTTACAAATAATGTAAAAAGAAGATCTGTGTATGCCTGTTTTTGATGTTGGCAGGTTGAGTCCAGATGATGTTAATATATATTGTGATGGGTGTTACTGGTTCTAATGGACCATAACCTCTGGTTTGAAAGGAAGACTTTCCAAAAAATGTTTTTTTTTTTTGGGGTGGGAGGGGTCAGCAACAATCCTTCAGGCTTGCCTCATTATCCTGGAAGTGTACTGATGCTGGAGAGAGTCTCCCTTTGTCTTTGACAGCAACACACCAGACCTCTGATGGAAGAAGGGAGGATGAATTCAGTAATGGTGGAAAAGAAATTTGCCATCATTGACTTTGATAGTTTGAGCTCCTTCACCTGATTCAGGATGTCCATTGCCTGCTCTTATTTTATTTTCATTTTGTTTTGATAATGTCAGCTCCTGGGAAATGATGGTTTTAAGGAGGCAGAACGATTTTACAGTCTCAACTGGGCCGTTATCTTCCTGGATAACAATGTGATTGTTTATCAAATTGTGTTTGTCTGAGCCATTTGACACTGGAGTTGTTTTAAGACATCAATCCACTTTGGTCCTGGCCCCACTCAGACTAGCTGCTAACCTCTTAATCTAGTCAGAAGTAATTTAAAATTCTATATAAAAAATCTATCTACAACAAGTCAAGTATTAACTGTTCATAACTTTTTCCAAGAACCCCAAATTAAATAATCTCAACTCTTAAATAATCTATCACTTAGAGTCAAAGAACTTCTGAAAATGTAATCCACACACACATTGTATTTTGCAGACTCAAACATAGACCCTTCACACCGACGTCTCAGCTTCCTTAGGGCTTCCTGTGGGTTACTGCAGTCATTACCACTGGCTGCGATTCTAAAAGGTGACAGACAGAAAGAAAACCCGGAAAAAGATAATAAATGCAGATGATTCCTCACAGGGCAGGAGAGGTCACTGAATGGTTTGATGAATATGAAAATGATGTGAATTTTATGCCGTGGCCTTCACAGCCACTTGGGGCCAGATGTACAAACTTTGCTCATGCACAAACTCCATCTGTACACTTTTGACCTCAAAGAAGACATTATTTATGTGTTACATGGGGTGAGGAGGCATTACAAAATGTTCACGCCATCATCAAACACAAGCTTGTTTTGCTTTTGGTGAAGCTAGTGTAGACGTTAAAGATAAAACTGGTTGCAGCTCGCAATTCTCACATACTGTATCTCTGGTTGATCACTCAGAGTAAGGTGGAACGTGGAGCTGGTCTTTGCATCTAAAACTGGGCCTCATGCAAGAACATGTTCGTATTTTTATCCTAAATTTCTCTTACTTTTGTTCGTACAAAGGGTTCATATGAACATACCACGTCAGATT